TAGAGTCCAGAGACAGACCAAATGTATATGGAGCAACTATACACAGAGTTAAAAGACAAAGAATAAGCATCCAGAATGTATAAAGAACATTTACAAATAAATAAGAAAAATGTAAACAATCTAATAAAGAAAAGGGCAAAATATATAAACAGATAATTCACAGAAGAAATCCAGATGGTAAACCCTCATCTATAACCATATCTGTAATCTATATCCAGGTGTGTTCACTAATAGTCAGGGAAATGGGAATAAAAATCTATATCACATCCATCAAATTGGCAAAAAAATTTAAATTCCACAACTGAGGATGTAGAGAAAGGGGAGTCCTTATATGCAGATGGTAGGTATTGGTACAATAATCTGGGAGACCAATTTGGCAACATCTAGTAAAATCGATGGCGACGCACCCCTAGATATATATACATAAAAACTCACACATGTGCACAAAGAGACATGCAAGGATGTTCAGAGAAAACTGTTTACAAGACTGAAAAGCCTAAAACAACCTAAACACCCATCACCTAAAGAATGGATAGGTGGGAGTCAGAATGGCCATTATTAAATAAAGTCCACAAACGATAAATGCCGGAGAGGGTACGGAGAAAAAGGAACCCTCCTACACTGCTGGTGGGAATGCAGTCTGGTATAGCCATTAGAGAGGGCAGTATGGAGATTCCTTAAAAGACTAAAAATAGACTTACCATATGATCCAGCAATCCCACTCCTGAGCATATATCCAGAGGAAACCTTAATTCAAAAAGATACATGCACCCCAGTGTTCACAGCAGCACTATTTACAATAGCCAAGACATGGAAGCAACCTAAGTGTCCATCAACAGATGACTGGATAAAGAAGTTGCGGTCTATTTATATGATGGAAAACTACTTAGCCTTAAAAAAGAATAAAATAATGTCATTTGCAGCAACACGGATGGACCTGGAAATCATCATTCTAAGTGAACTAAGCCAGAAAGAGAAAGAAAAATATTGCACGATAGTACTCATATGTAGAAACTTAAAAAAAAAGGACATAAATTAACTTATTTACAAAACTGAAACAGACTCACAGACATAGAAAACAAACTCATGGTTACCGGGGGGAGGGTGCGAAGGGAT